GTGATTTAGTATCCACCCACATGAATTCATTTGTGACTGTAAACTGAGTCCAAGTTACTAAAATGTTAATTAGGTATTTCAGTTGAGACTGAGTGCTAGTTCATCAGCTTTTTGTGCATTCTTGACATTATCTGATTAGATATTACTAATATTCTAATGTAAAACAAATTTATGCGTCTTATGAAATCAAGTAAAGATAATTAAAAATCGTGTCAGAATGCACAATTATACATTTTAGTAAGAGACATGTCTGAACTTCGCTAATCGACTAATGGTCATTCATATAAAAGATACACTAATTAGAGGTATTTATAATTAGTATTCAAAGCGTTCATATATCGTTAACGTTTCTTGATTGGATGAATAAAGTATGATTATTTAGTGATTTTTAAGATAATATTTTACTTCTGAATTAATTTGTGTATGGAATGTGTGTTTCTTAAATTTCGTTATTTTTAATAGTAGGAGTTTTTGAAATAAAATTGACTTGTATTGTATTTAAAGAGTAATGATTTACTTACTTACTTACTTACTTACGGCTGTTACTCCTAATGGAGCATAGGCCGCCGACCAGCATTCTTCAACCCACTCTGTCCTGGGCCTTCTTTTCAAGTTCCATCCAATTCTTGTTCATTTTACTCATGTCTGTCTCCATTTCTAAAAGTAATGTGTTCTTTGGTCTTCCTTTCCTCCTTCTCCTCCTTTGACTTTGAGGATTCCATATGAGGGCTTGTCTTGTGGCACACAGTCGTGTGCTTTCCTCAGTGTGTGTCCTATCCACTTCTGGCGCTTCCTCCTGATTGTTTCCTCCGCTGGATTCTGGTTTGTTCTCTCCTACAGTAAGTTGTTGGTGATAATGTCTGACCAGTTGATCCGAAGTGTTTTGCGTAGACAGCTGTTGATAAACACTTGTATCTTCTGGATGATGGCTTTCGTAGTTCTCCAGGTTCCCGCCTCATACAGTAGAACTGTTTTGACATTTGTATTGGAAATTCTGACTTTGGTGTTAGCAGTTGACAATTATTTTAAGTTCCAGATGTTCTTCAATTTTAAATATATTGCTCTTTCCTTGTCGATCCGTGCCTTCACATCTGCATCAGATCCATTGTGTTCATGAATGACGCTGCTGAGATATGTAAATGATTTTACATCTTCCAAATCTTTTCTAACAATTGTGATTGGATTGTTGCATGCTGTGTTGTATTGGAGAATCTTGCTTTTCCCTTTGTGTATATTGAAACCTACTGCTGCTGAGGCTGCCTGCTACATTGGTCGTTTTTCTCCTGCATTTGTTGTTGCCTGTGCGATAGAAGATCCAGATCATCTGAGAAGTCTAGATCGTTCAGAGTAGTAATTTACTGTATTCTAAACACATTGTGACCAAGTGACACGAGGTAATCTAACTAGCTTCTTTGTATAATTATTGTATGTGGGGATTTACTGTGCAGTGGCTTTGAATTGTTGATCAATCACCTTGATAACCGTTATTATGTAAATCCCAACGGCGTTTGAAATCAGAAGGCAATAAGAAGCGGCGACTACGGTTTATTAGCGGATAGCACAGATCATAAAGCTGCAAGCACATCGAGCGAGTTTGGAGCAGAAAGGTGAATATGTGCATGTGCGAGAAAATACATAGGCGGATTTATAGTCAAGTCGAAAAAGGCGTATATAGGCAATTCAAAAGCTAATAACTGAGTTCGAGTACATATATAAGTGGGGAAGGGAATGATTCATCGAACGATATTTAAGCTATCAACATTTTAGCTAGAGTCTGATCAAGCGTACACGTTTATACAGATATGGTAGTGGTCATAATAGTATAAAGAAACATGCGAATTGTTACTGTTCGAATAACATTGTCTGTTAAGTAAGTTAATAAAAGGGTTTAACAAAATTTAACCATAATCGAAATTGATTGTAGGAGAACTGCTATAACTCACTGAAATGTTTCTTGCAGTCTTGTTAACACCTTGATTTTTGAGTCGACACTCTGGAACACATTGAGTTTTACATTATATTGTTCATTTACCTTTGGCGTGGCCTACGAATGTCTGTTAAAAGTCACTTTTAATCAGAGGATGATTAAGTTCTCAAAAAATAAGTGATTTAATGCAATAAATGATCATCTATGATATTAATGATTACTCTATAACTTACGGAAACTAACCTGTAAATGAACTCTTATCCAGTCTTCACTGTTTTCGTACAAACTGTATAGATATTTAAATTCACTTGGTATTTTTTATTTGAATCTTCCGATTGATGTTTAGGATTGCAATTGATCAGTCTCTTATTGGCATATGTGCATGCTGTGCGTACTGCCTCGATATAGTCTTAATTCACAGGCATTATAAGCAAAGATGGATAGTGGCTAGCAGTGGAAACTTAGACCCAACCATAAATTGTGAGGCGTTATCCAAGTATCATACAGTAGTGGACTTGGGACCCAAGTGTTCGTACAATTTTTCATCATCTATCAAACCTCGAAATACAACACCAAATCTCAACGTCGTCTAGGTTACACAATTTGTCACCTCTATTTCAACGAGTCAGGTATTTTAACTTACGAAGTATGTGTTTGACTTCTCCTAGAATACTGCAAGTTTATTCTTAGTAGTGTTCGCATAAGATATCAATTAAGACTGAAATCCGTTCTGTGAATATTAACACCTCATATTCTTGTGATTGATTCTACCTTTAATTATAACTCCAGATGTAATAAAGTTGAACTCTACCCTTTTTGGAAGAGGAGACTCGAACTAAATCTGATCGTTTTCTACAAAATACTTAATAAACTATCTTTTAAAGTCAATGTTCAGAAACTCTTTGTTATAGCATCCGTAACTGTTTTTCATTAATAAAACAATCTCATCCTGAATTTCTCCATATGAGTTAGTTCACTAGTAAACTTTCGAGACTCTAGAATAATTTACCACAATCCGTCCGTGAAATAAAATCACATCTGTCCTTTATTTACTAAATCGATGCTTACTTCTCCTCTTGAAAACGCCTTTGGTATGCTTACACTTTTAAATATATCCATTTCATAACTGAGATTATAGAAGTTTTAAATGTTTAGTCGTTTTCGCTACTGAGCCTGCTAATTAAACCTCGCTATGTACTGATACTGTACACTAACTCCGTTATCGATAATGATGACAACACAAATCAGTGATTACGTTCAGTTTTATGTAATAAGATTTGTGAAATATCTTGCATGAGAGTTGACAACGCTTATCAGACAGTCCAACACACGACAACGGATCAATCACAGCCTACATACCAAATATGTTAACTCAGAGATCGTTTCTTTGAAACGAGAGTTTATTGTTAAATTGATTGTGCTTTTTACGTGTCACTGAAATGTAAATAGAACAGAGAGAAGATTTGAATAAATCGTCTGTGACAGCCTTAATTATTCTGAAAAATATCTAACCCAAACTATAGAGCAAAAAATAACGTGACACATGTATTATGGTAGATCTGACTTACTGACTTATCCTTTTTTATTTTTCCATGATCTCTGTTTCCATTTTACTTTCTCTAGTTATAAATGATTATGACCAATGCTTTATGACACTAGAAATGACCTACTATATAGTTCTAAAGTATAGTAAGAACTGTAATATTCCGCAGGTTTATTTACAGTTAGTAAGATGTTTCTGAAATGTGATTTATTTAATCAAAATTTACATACTACTTAATTCAGTGATAGCTACTAGATCAAACATCAATTATGAATCATCTAAACAGAGAATATAACAAACAAATATATGATATTTAATTTATTAATCTTGAGATCCAATCAAAATAATTTCCTATATTTTCCTTTAATTAAAATTTTAGTTCACAAAATGAGCATACTTGCTACCTTTATTAACTTATATTTCATACGGTAATTTTTCAATACATATAAAAGACTTCGATAGAACACTGAGAAGGCGGAGTTTATCTGAAAAATGTGATGGTCGATAGCATTCGATCTGCACTAAATTAGGACTTGACACGTATGACATCGATCACCACCCACTGATCAATCAATTGTGATTACATTTCAGTCCTACAGGAGGTCAGTCGCGGCCGGATAGCCCAGTGGTAACGTCTCTGACTGTGAAGCTGGGTGACGCAGGATCAAATCCGCCAGGGAGCACCAGTTCCTTCAAGATTACAGGTACACCTTGTTGAGAAGTGCCAAGTAGCACGAAACCCGGGTCCAGGGTTTCCTGTCGACTACCTCCAACCACCATCTAGTCTCGAAAAATGTGATGTAACTATGCTATACATTTCGAACAATCTGATCACACACATATACTTGTCAGGGCATTTTATATGAAAATTAATAAAGGTCAATTAAACGAAAGTTCAAGTAAAATAACAAAAAGGGGAGAGAACGAATAATAAATTGTCGCGTTATCCTAGGCCATAGAATGACTTTAGGACTACCAAGGTAAATTCAAGATTACGACAAATTGTTTTTGTAAACATAAGGGGGCTTTAAATTTACGAGTAGCCAAGGCTTCAATAAACTTAAGAATTCGTCTATGACAATTTCTATACAACGTTCTAAAAGCTGTATTAATGTCAATTTTGTACCCCGTTTCAATTATAGATTTCGCTATCGATGAACCTGGTTTCCGACCTCCCACATTGATCGGATCATTTGACACACATTGATTTTGAAGCCATCTAGGCACATGTTCATTGACTCTTGATTACATTGTTCGATTACTCTTCCCTATGTATGTGTTCCACACAAACATGTAAATTGGTAAATACAATGGGATGTGACGTAATCATTAGTGCATTGTTTGGGTCTATTAGGAATCATGGGCTTTTCATGGACTTTTCAATCACAACCAACTGAGCAGCATATAGGTATTCTCGATGTCTGTTTTCAATCTCTGTCTTAAAACTATGCTGTTGGATTCGCCTCTATATGGTAGATTGATATAAACTTTTTTCTTTGGAACTAAATAAACAATAGGTGTGGGCATTAACTGACTTTTGCACCTATTAATAAATTTTAGTGGATAACCATTTGCTATTAATATATCAGTCAGTAACTTTTCATGTTTTTCCACCGTGTCAGAAGTACAAATTCTTTGAGTCCTCTTAAAGAGACACTTAACCAGGCCTTGCTTCTATTGCAATAGACAAAAACTATGGAAATTTAAGTATTGTCCCGTCAAGGTTGGTTTCCTATACACATTTTTCAGATAAACTCCGTCTTCTCATTGGTCTATCGAAATTTATAAAATGGACTAATTACTTTAAATATAAAAAACTATTTTATTTACACAACAAACTGGATCATGGATGTTCAATGCTGAAGAGTCTTATACTGGGGACGAAACGATCGTTCTAATGCTTTCAGCTTTCCTATAATGGTCTAGTTTTAATCAATTCATGAATTCAACTATTATCAATTTGATTATGAAATATCAACAAATTTATGAATGATTTATTTAACAATATTAATGTATACAGAATGAATTAAAACTGTCTTTTTTTCATTTTCTTCTTTTTCTTTTTTCTTTATTTTATTATTGTTGTTGTTGTTGCTGTTGTTGTTGTAGTTCTACTCATTGAAAACAAGTGAATATGTGCATTGAATTATATAGATTGTGTAATTGATTATTTATCCTGATTTAAATAATTGTACCGCAACATTTTGTAGATAGAAATAAATAAAATTATTGGTTTCATGTGTTACGTAACTATAGAAATAAAGAATAAATAATCAAAAGTAAATATATAATAATGATAGCAATTAACATGGTTTATTGAATAGTGTATGTATAGAAATAAGAAAAAGTTATTACAGATTATTAATCAAAGTTAACTTAGTGTAATGGAACTCTGATTGTAGCTCATTTAAGTTTATTGTTAATCTTAAACCAGGGTTTATAAAAAGAAGGTTCAGTATAGAGTCATCAACCCTTTTCATTAGAAAACAAACTTGGTGAAAACACGTTAAACTGGGTAATCTAATTTGATAAATCATTATTGCCAATTCATTCACTGCTGAGGAGTCCTACAATAGGACGAAACGTCCGTCCAGTGTTTCCAGGTTTTCCATGGTGGTGTAGCTTCAACTGACTCATGATCTTAACCATTGAAATTACTATAATATCCACAAAACCCATCTGATATTAATTCTCTATTATTAAAAAATTATTGTATTCATTAAAGAACAGAACAATTTACTAGATAGTACTGTTGGAAAAAGTAAACATTTTCACCATTAAAATAAATAATAAAATTATTTACAATAGACAGCTATCATTTATATATAGCTGTAACTAAATCACATAAGTTTGTACGTATTATTGCCAAGGTTGAACTTGATAGCTCCACATATAGTGAGTATTGGATAGAAACTTAAGAAATATAAGTTTTTCTGAAGTTTCGTCACTTAGTGTATATAGCTTCTTCAGAGAAGAGATAAAGTTTTTATACTCACTGGAATATTCAATGATATTAGGAATTTAGACTGGATTGTTTTGTTTTCTGTATGATTTTTCACGGATTTGTCAGAAATAAATTTACTACGATTTTAATAAAATAGATATCATGAACAGATCTAATTTTAGTTAAATTTAGACAACAATACCATTGGATGCCGGCTCAGTGGTATAGAGGTTAAGCGTTTGCACGCGACACTGATAAATCCTCGGTTCGAATCTCGTTAGGTGGGATTGTGGATACGCACTGTTAAGGAGTCCTATACTAGGATGAGACGACCGTTTAGCGCTTTCAGGATTTCCATGGTGTTCTAGTTTCAATTGACTCATGACCCGATTTTGTTAAGAAAAATCATTTTAAATAAAATCTTACCTCTAGATTATTAGTTCAGATAATGATGAATTATTCAATAATAGTGTATTTATGAGCCATATTTCCGATCACAATAAACTGAAAGATTATGCCAATTCTCATGTTTGTCATTTACTTAATTACATATCAACTTTTCGAAAATAAACCAATCAATGTTATATCCTGGATGAAACAAATCATTTCGAGATAGTGGTAAAGATTTGTAGCTCAGGTGGATGATTTTGATGGGATTTTGTTCTCTGAGTTGAATGATTTAGTTGTGAAGCTTTCATTGTTCTCCTGAACGCTGTCATCAGCACGAACCTAAAGTTCAGAAGAACGATGAAAGCTCCACAGCCAAACCATCCAGTTCAGAGAACAGAAGTCGAACAAATAATTTCATTTTCTATAACATAGTACATCTTAAATTATCGACTACAATAACTGATTATCTCAAATAGTGTAATCAAACAATATTGATTAAAAGAAACAAACAAAGAAAACACTTTGAAAATAAAAAAAAACAACAACAAAAATAGTTACCTTCCAAAATTTTTACCAACAACACAATGCCATGTTGGACCATAATTTTTATCAAAATGTTTTTTAATATAAGCTGCAATATCTTTTTCAATATTATATTCAATCATTGCTTGAGCAGCTATATCAACGGCACATTGTTGCATATCATCTGACATATCAGCATTTTTAACAACAGCTTTTTTACATTCCATATTATATTTGATTTGATTTGATATAATTGACAATATTAAGCTAAAAAGAACTATAGGAAGTGTAAAATAAGACTCTTATTATTTACATAAACATGTATATCTATATCTGTATATATATATATATATATATATATATATATATATATATATATATATATATATATATATATATATATATATATATATATATATATATGCATGTGTTTAGACAGTAGATTGTTCTATACTGACCTGAAACAGTACAAAGTTTAACATTTAGTAACATAACTTCAACTCAACGAATAATGTCTCTACATTTATGTAACTACTATTTACCTTGATTGAATTAAAAATTGAATAAAACTTTCAAAAGATTGGCTAATGTAAATGGCACATAAAACTACTTGAGTTTGTATAGACTAGAAAGATCAAATTTACATATGCATATGTATATACATATATGTATACATATCTAAGTTAATTTATACGAAATCAACGACTAAATACACTCATATCTATAATCCTGTGTATCATGGTAAATGTTTACAGTCAGAATATTAAATAACTTGGTGTATATATTTATCATTAATTTGTGTAGTCTTTTGTTTTCTGTCTTCAAATCTAAGTTACTTTAATCATTTCTATTGAGAAAATCAGAAATCTAAACAGTTATTTTTACATATGATATATAAATTATAAAATAGACGATTAGTTGGTAGAATTATAAGAAAATGATTCAGTGAAGAAGTGGATCAACAAAGCAAGAACAGTATATCTACAACTGTAGATCATCTGAAACTTAAAACTGTTATCGACCAAAACCAAAGTCAAGACAGTTTTACTGTATGGGACGGAAACTTGAAGAACTATGAAAGCTATCATCCAGAAGATACAAGTGTTTATTAACAGTTGCCCATGCAAAATACTTCAGATCCGTTTGCCTGACACTATTAGCAACAACCTACTGTTGGAGAGAATAAACCAGATTCCAGAGGAGGAAAAAATCAGGAAGAAGCGCTAGAAGTGGATAGGACACACGTTGGGGAAAGCACACAACTGTGTGTCACAAGCCAAACCCTCATATGAAATCCTCAAGGTCAAACGAGGAGGTGAACACCAATGAACACATTTGGCCGATAAATGGAGACAGACTTGAGAAGAGTGAACAACAACTGGATAGAACTAGGAACGAAGGCAGAGTGGGACAGAGGGTGTTGGAGAATGTTGGTCGGTGGCCTATGCTTCATTGGGAGTAACAGCCGTTAGTAAACAAGTACGATTCAGTGGAACATGACAAGTGCATTGTTTTACCAAATTATTGTTAAACTATACAAGTCAAATTCACTTGGTGTTGTTTTACTTGAATCTTCCGATTAATGATTAGGACTGCAATTGATCAGTCCTCTTATTGACATACGTGCATGCTGTGCAAACGGCTTCAATATTATCTTAATTCACAAGCATAATAAGCAAAGATAGTGACTAACAGTGGAATCTAGGACGCGTCTTTCGTCCTATTTAGGGCTCGTCAGCTGAATATATGTTCACTCGGGGACTCGAACCTATTACTGCTCGTTTCAAACGCCATCGCATCATACACCTAGCTACTAAGTCATGAAGGCAAGAATAATAAACATTGATTACAGAGCTTACATGTAGTTGACAAATAAAAAAGCGGGGACAACCAATATACGTTTTATTACAAAATACAGAGTTCTTTGGTAAAATATAAAAACCATACTTTCAATACATCTTTTTTAAACCCTTCATCAATTGTCTCGAAGTTCCTCTATGTTCCCATTCTCTTTGATTCAATCTTTTCAACCTTCTGATGCCAGGTATTCTACTTCTGATTGATGTTATATACTACTTATATTGACATGAGCAGTATACACCATATACGTATATACGTTTTCTAATAAAACGTTTAGAAACGTATAGAAATGATTCGAAGAAATGATTTAAAGGTTGTATTTCTTTTTATGAAACTTTATATTTTTTTAAAAAAGAAATCAGTTTTGCTTATTTTTATATTGGCTTTTGATCCATTAAAATATTTACTTTAATCAGAAACCATTGATCACACTAAAATTTGAACTTCAATAGTGGTGTGTGCTACTTATATTGACATAAGTAGTATATGATGTTAGTCGTAAACAGAAGGTCTGGCAGCAGAGACACAAGAGGATCGAACAGTAAAGAATGGAAACAGAATACAATTTGTGTGCAAATGCAAGAACAATGAAGTCTGAGTCATTTTGAGACAATTGATGGACATTTTGCAAATTACGTATTTACTTTATGAATGTTAGATTTTACTAACAAGTCATGTAATCTTGTGTCAAATACATTCGATTGTCCCCATTCGTGTTCTGTTCACAACACAATGGCTCAATAAAAAAATAATAATAAATGTTGATCTACTGACTATAACAACAAAGATGTTTTAATTATTATAGAATTTTCATAGATTATTAACCTATAGACTATTGCCTATAATTAGTAGTTTGATGGTGTTTTGTTCTCTGAGCTGGATGGTTTGGTCGTGGAGCTTTCATCTTTCTTCTAAATGACATCATTAGCACAAACTTCAACTAGAAGTGTATAAATAACAAATTGTCACTGAACAAACTTGAGTTTATTGATTCGCTCATTGGTATCTATATATAGTGTGACTTAATGTGGAATGATTTTTTTTTGAAAATTTCCTTTCTAGTTTCATTATCTATTCCAAGTTTATTATAGAAGGATAAATTGCAAGACTATAGAAAAAAGCTATGCTTGCACAGAAAAAGTAGCTGAACAATAGATTAATTACTATGTCAAAATGAAATAACAAGACTTACTTCAGTGCTTAATATGTACGTGAAATGTTGTATTATAAATGATCATAAGCTAGAATGATAGTAAGAAATTGAAGATTCCTGAAGAATGAATATATCATGGTTTGATAATTGTTAGCAGTAAATAATTTCATTCTTTCAATAGGATTGTATCCAGTATAAGTGATATTCAATCGGATTGAGATTGTTTTAAAAATTGATTGATTTACAATTACAAGTTCAGTTAACCTATAATATACAGGGATATTCATCAAGTATCACTGGTGTTATCGTCTTAGCCTTGACAACACTGGCTCCACAAGATCAAGATTCCAATTTGAACTTGTGGAAATTTATTTCATTGGTAAATATAAAACGTTTTTTTTCAAGTAGACATCAAGATCTTTTTCATTTTTAAGACAAAAGTTCGTGATTGATATTACGGAATTCAAATTTATGGATTATTTTTTTGAAGCAACACTGTTTATGCAAAGACTACTGATACCCATTATTTGGTCAAATAAACTTAGATGACATGAAGAACCAGATCTACATTTAGTCAAAATTATTTATTATTCATCAAATAAATTTCCTTAAGCTTTAACTAATAGTAACATCAGAAATTTGATAGATACTATATCATAGACTACCAATTATTTTATTTAAACACATAAATATTGGTACAAGGAGTTAGCAAATAGATATGCCCTACATAAATCAGTCGATTTATGTGAGGGCTTGGATACTGCATGGGTGCCCAAACCGAAGCAGTTGGTTTTCTTAGGAGGCTACACCTGGAGCCTTCGACCTAAAGGTCTAATTCACAAGGCAGTGGAGCAACGTCAATAGATGCACTCCCATGGTAGCCAGTGACCAACGATTGGTTTATACGCCATTTGTTCCCTCAGGATACTGGAGCCCATCTGCATCATTGGTTTGGAATTAGGGTTTTCCAACTCCCCTAGTTGGACTCTCCGTATCCACCAACCCGTAATCAACACCTCATTGAGAGAAGGCAGTGAGTAGGACTTCTCTAGCAGTGGTTGAATGCATATATATAGCTCTATAATGCTACATATAGAAAATGGTTGTATATTGTGTCTTCTTTGATTCGTCATTAATCTAATAATTACTAAGATATACATTTTAAAAAAAAATACTATTAGAGAAAATTGAAAACTTTCTATGAATACACAGAAACTAAGAATTAGTAATATCAAGAGACATTTCACAAGATGTTTTGCACATACACACACACACATACACACATACATACATACATACATAGCAACATACAATATACACTATTCCAAGTAATCATAATAGTAAATATGTGATCAATTAACTTGTATCAACTTATGTACACATAGAGCATTAAATTAGATTGAATTACTTGGAATTGTGATAAATGCTAAATAGTAAATAATACTAAGTAATAGACATTTAATATTTCATCAGTAATTTTTTACCTATCATAATTATTATCATTTGAATATCATTCATAATGGAAGCACAAAAAGTAATTGTAAAAAGTACTGGAATGCCAAATGATATGCAAGAACATGCTATTAAATCATGTATAAAAGCAATGAGAATACTACGACATGATAAAGATGTAGCTAGTTCATTGAAAAAAGAATTTAATGATAAATATGGACGTACATGGCATTGTATTGTTGGAAGTAATTATGGAAGGTAATATTTGATTTGATTTTGATTTATATGTTATGACATTGGTTATAATGACAGTTATCTAATTTCTTTGATTGTTCAGTTTCAAGATTGAGTTTGATCAGTATTTGTTGACAATATAAACTCTTTAAGAGAATGACTTCATAATGCTGCTTGTACTTATAAGTTAACAATAGAATCCCTCTATCTAGGAACCATTAACTTGATGTACCGATGTTCATAGTCATACTTGAAATTGTAGTCGATTAGTTTGAAAAAATCGACGTATAATTTATCAATTTACTGATTATAGATAGTTAAATAGGATGAAAAACGCTCTCTGGATACTATGGTTAACTACTATTCAAAAGTATATTTATTTCTTTGATTCCTAGATCCTACAATCTGAGTTAAAATATCAACCTTTTTTAATGTCAAGTAAAAATATACTTTATTTTTTCTATACTACTCTATTGATTGGTATTAATGTAAACACATTCACAGTGACATTTATTTCCTTTTACTGTAAATTCTTTGTTGTACATCAAATTTACAAGATACCTCATAACGAAAATAATTATTCTGTTAACAGTAAACAGCATTAACAAATCATATCATTTCACTGGTTGAAATCATGAGTCAATTGAAGCTAGACCACCATGGACATTAACACCGTTGGATGCTGGCTCAGTGGTCTAGTGGTTAAGCGCCTGGAGCGAGACTGATAGGTCCTGGGTTCGAATCTCGCGGGGGGCGGGATCGTGGATGCGCGTTGCTGAGGAGTCCCATACTAGGACGAAACGGCCGTCCAGTGCTTCCAGGTTTTCCATGGTGGTCTAGCTTAAATTGACTTATGATTTCAACCAGTGAAATTTCTAAAAATCTCCACAAAACCCATTCTGATAAAAATATCATTGTTTAAAGAGTTTAAATACCTTAACTTACTTTCATATATATGAGTTATATAGTTGACTAGGGAAAAACTACGATTGTACTGGTTATCAATATTTGTTTGTGATGTTTTTTATCACTCACTTCATCAGAGATGTTAGAGAAGATATGTAGATAAGGTGGATGATTTTGATGGAGGTTTGTTCTCTGAGTTGGATGATTTGGTCGTGGAGCTTATATCCTTTTTTCTGAACGACATCATCAACACAAACTTCTACATTTTCAGAGTTTATACAATTTATTTTGAATGAATTAAACATTCATCATCATTAACGTTACAAAGTTTCGTCACTCTAATTACGAATATACACGAAATAATTATACTCAGCAGTCAAAAATAAATCATTTTAGGTGTGGTATTGAAAACAACTTATTCAGATCATTTTTTATAAGTGGAATTTATGAGTCAATTAAAGATAAACCACCATGGAAAACCTGGAAGCACTAAACGGTTGTTTCGTCCTGGTATGGCACTCCTCAGCAGGTTCGGACCCAGGATATATCGATCTCGTGCACGAACGCTTAACCTCTAGACCACTGAGCCGGCATCCAATGGTGCTAATTTCTAATTTCAACCAATCCATCCACCGTCCATCATTATCTTCAGTGAATTACTATCTCACAACAGACCCGGTTTGACGCCACTAGTCACGACTTCTCGCTAGAACTCTAGGAAATACCTCTTGGAGACCGTCACTAGTAAGCCTATGGTGACTGTAATCAGAGGGGGGTTTTGTGAAGTCAATTGAACCCCTCTGTGATTATTCAGATCTGTTAAATCTAGATATGATCTAGTTTCATAAAAACACTTTTTGTTTTATGATTATTTTCTTGTTTTTTTTTCTGTTTGTTAGCAATGTCAGTCATGTCGATGAAGGATTGATTTATTTCTTTGTCGATAGAAAATCGGTCCTTTTATTTAGAACAGAATGTGCTTAATGACTTGTTTACTAAAATTTTATATCAATATTATTTAAACAATAAATAGTTGCTGATAAATTGTAAACAGTAAACATTTATTGATTGAATTAGATTGTGAATTTTCAATTAATTATATCATTCCTTTATTATTAGTTTCGTTGTTGTTGTTATTGTTGTTGTTAGTGTCTTATTGTAAATTTGATTAACTTCAGTTTTGTACTAGTTCCATGAAGAAATGTGAACAGTGAATAACCAAGATGACATAATAGACAGATTATAATACTAGATTGCGTGATATGAATAGTAACAATAGACTTAATAAGTTAGTAATGAATTCTAACATAAATGTAGTAAGTTGATTGAAATGTTTTTGTTACAATAATTAAAGGTCATTAAAGGTCAAAGTGGTGTAAAAAATAAAGTGCATTTATGAATAAAATAATGAATATATGAGACATAAGTATAGGGGGAATGCAGTAGTAATAATAAAGACCAAGGTAACGATAACGATAGGGCGTACTTCTTTTGAACGCATAAGTGTGGCTTGAGCTCATGGATGGTTAGAGCTTCGGCTATTTTTTAGAAGTTGAATACGAAGAAATCTAGGTAGATTGGAAGAAATCGTATATACAACCTTAAAATCAAACTGTGGATCCGTAGAGTGATTACAGTCGATTAGATGTTCAAATATAGAACTAACTACTTTCCTCTCACCCTTGTAGAATTAAACCGTGACTTGTTCCCTTATCCAAGTTGGAACCCAACGCTGGCTACGGCCAATGTACTTTGTAGGTGAACTGGGAGATGCACATGGAGGCGGCCAGACAGTTGTACGATTGTACAATCTGATAATAAATTTGTTGAAAAGAGATCCCTTTGCAGAACTTCGTGTTTCTAATGTTTAAATGGGAATTGTCTGGGAAACAGTTTATAGTTCAGGTATTTCGTATCAAGCACAATATCAGTGATATATGGTGAAAGAAGTCTGATTTATTATATCAGTTATCAAAATCCAATTTTAAGCACCCAATTACCCGATTACAAAATAATATTGTATATAAATGAAAATGAGAGAAACTTTGTCATAAATGTCATTTGTGTATTTGAACACTTGATATGGTTTGTTGGTATCTTCTTATCGTTGTTCAGGATGCAGTTATATCTAGCTGACGAGTCTCAAACAAGATGAAACGCGCTACCTAGATTGCAATATAAGCCACCATCTATCTTCACTTATAAAGTAATAAATTCTGTTTGAGAAAATAGAGTTAGATGATGAAGTCCAAGCTTAGTCTGTAGAAGTTTATCATAAATATTCGTAACCTAGAGATGTATTCATTGAAATTAATCGTTAATCTTATAAGACAATATCAATGGTTAAGATCACGAGTCAGTTGAAGACACACCACCATCGAAAACCTGGAAGCACTGGACGGCCGTTTCGTCCTATTGTGGGACTCCTCAGCAGTGCGCATCCATGACCTCGCCCGTTGCGAGATTCAAACCCAAGACCTACTGGCTTCGCGCGCGAGCACTTAACCGCTAGACCACTGAGCTGGCATCTAGCAGAGGTCGAGGTCGTGGATGCGTCTTGCCGAGGAGTCCCAAACCAGGACGAAACGGCCATCCAGTGCTTCTAGGTTTTCCGTGGTGGTCTAGCTTCAACTGACTCATGATGTTGACTATTGAAATTACTACAATATCCACAAAACCCTTCTGATATTATAAGACAATAATTAATTTCCTATACTGTGAATTAGAACATTATATATAAGCAAAAAATTGATTTGACGATCGTCTTTCCTAACTATAAAGAGAGATGTTCACTAACTCGTTGCCTCAGTTATATGGTTGTGTACCCAACAATAATTAGTTTGATATTAAAGAGGAAGTATATATTTGTAAAATCTCAGCGAAAGAATATGAAGTAAATCCAACGTTTCGCCTGGCAATCTAGTCCAAGCTTTTTCTTCTTTCATGTCTCACATCAACTCGTCGCCCAAATACTGTGAAACTATTCGATCAAATTTAAACGAAAGTTCTTATTTAATAATTAGTTTGCTTAATAAACAATGGACTATCAAGTACTTGTGTCTCTGACCCTTAAGGTGATAAAATTACTTCAGTAAATGATAGAATATAATCAGTAATTCTGAATTAATACATAATCTGAGTTATGAGATCAAAACGAATTTTCAAGATCATCGTACTAAACTGATAAGGTCAATCGTCATTGAGCTTGTCGTTTTCATTTTTTGCATAGAAATAATTTTGAAATTAACAACATGTTAATTATTTCAAAAAGATATTTGCCTAACATCTGAGTCCATTTTTAAATGCCCTAAAATGAATTAATTGTTATTGTTATCAAATACAAACTATCATAAGCGGGTAATATAACTAAGGATATAGTCTTCCAAGAGAAAAGTACTTTGAATATGTAATGAATAATGACAGGAAACCCTGTCGACTACCTCCAACCACCATCTAATCTCAATATATAGCGCCCGCAGTGTCAAGTCACCTAGACTAACGGCCACATTGCAACATGGTCGACAGCATTCGATCTGCACTAATAAGCACTAGACACGCATGACATTGATCGCCACCCAGTGATCAATCAACTGTGATAATGAATAATGCGCATCAATATATTATACATATAGTATTAATACTTCTACTCATCGTCATGATCAATCTGAGATTGTATTAAATTAATCGGTATTGCTACGGTACATACAAAACTAATTAGACATACTAACATTGAATGTACGGCTTATGGATTTAAAAATTTTCCAGAAATCGAATTCTTTGAAATTTGTGATATTCATATCAAGTTGCACTATGACGAACAATTGTGGACTCACATTCAGAGATAACGTGCAACTAGTATTAAAACGACTCTGAAACTTACGATTATCTTCCAGTTAACAATAGAGAGTATGTAATTCAAGATATATTAGAACTTAACATTATAACCTAATGTCATAGTGTCTAGGGAAAAGGATGAATTACTCGTAATTCTCTTAATTAATATACTCCATAAACTTATTTGCAATAGATTTTCATGGTGTAGAATATTAATAAACTATGTTACTTATTGATAATAATACTTTTCAAGTTCACCTAACTGTGAAGATGATCCATAGGTAAACTCGAGGAAGCTCTGAGAAGCTCAGGAAGATCCGAAGATATTCCATCCAATCAGCTTTTGGAAGAATATTACAGATTCATTACGTGTAGCTTCCCTATTGGTCAAATGCAGATAATTCCATGTGTGCGGATTGGATAACTGTAATGATGATTTCGTTTTTACTAAAAACTATACCTAACAGTTTTGTACCATAATTGACACTGTTTAGAATAGCGTTTCCCATTTGCAACTTTGGGGGGTTCTAGCATGAGAGTGCTCAAGTTATATGCGGCATAGAAAGAATCTAAGTTCTAGATATAACACTAACAAGTATATGTGTTTGCCTGATATCCACCTTATTAAGAATTTCATAAGTTTCAAGTTTAAAATATACACATATTTTCATGTCAGATATGATCAATTTTGTTACGAATATCACTTTAACTGTGAAGGACTCTAGTAACAGCAATGAGTAAGAATAGAATACCTTGTCTGTCTTTTCATTAACTCATTAATATTTGTGAAACAACCAATATGAAAGTCAGAATCTTCAATACTAACGTCAAGACAGTTCTACTGTATGGAGCTGAAACTTGGATAACTACTAAAACGAACATCAAGAAGGAAAAAGTAATTATAAATAGTTGTCTATGCAGATACCACTAGAAACAGCCTTTTGTTGGAGAGGATAAATCAGCTTCCAGCTAAGGAGGAAATTAGGAAAAGACTATGGAAGTGGACAGCACATACAGTAAACTGCATCACGAGGCAATCCCTAACTTGGAATCCTGAAGGGAAACGGAAAAGAAGAAGGCCAAAAAACGCATTACCTCGGGAATTAGAAACAGATATGAAAGGGATGAATAACAACTGGAAAGAGCTGGTAAAGATTGCTCAGGACAGGGTTGGATGGAGAGTGGTGGTGGGCAGCCTATGCTTCTCCACGAGGGGTAACAGGCGTAAGTAAGTAAATAATTGAAAGTTTCTCAATCATATATTCCATGTCTTTTAATTTATTCATATAACTGTGATCATTCGATAGGATTACAAATATGCATAATCTGTTTAGTCAATAAAACAAATCAGAGAAATTCATTAACAGAACATTTTGTTAATAAACTAGAAATATGTTGCCATAGTTACAAGTAGCGTCACGTGATCTAGAATGATTTCATAGATGTAACAAAGTACTGTTTTCAATTTATATACTGTACATATAAAAACTGATAATCACTAACGATTATACACTTCATATGATCTTTAAAAAAAACTATAAAGTCAAAATCCATGTTATACATGAATTACCATTTGTAAAACAAATCAAATTTTCTACTTAAATTTACAATATACCATTTATGAGAACGTCATACTACTTAAAAAAGAAACAACAGAACGAACGTAGTTTTAGACTTGAAAACGACTGTTGATCACAATTGAAATTTCTGTATCGTTAAAAGGAAACAGAATCCCGTGTAGGTTTTTATTTATGATGAAGAAGAGAAATAGATAAGGGGAGAGCAAGCAGCCTTGTTTGACTCCGGTTTTTAATTGGAATGTTTCTGTCAGCTGTTCTTCATGCATCACTTCACAATGTAGTTCATCATATGAATTCTCTATGATGTTGACGATTTTCTCAGTCACTCAATCTATAGTGTAGAAGAAGGTTCCGTAAGATTCTCCCATACACACTGTCAGACGCCTTCTCATAATCAAGAACGTTGATGTATAGTGACGAGATCCATACAATTGTTTGTTCAACGATGATCTGTAGTGTCGCGATTTGATCAGTGCAAAACCGATCCTTACGAAATCCGTTCTATTGACTTCGATGTTGGGTGTCTACTGAAACCTTCATTTGGTTCAGCAACAATCTGTTGAAAACCCGTTGTGGAATCGATAGTAGTGTGATGCCTATGTAGTTCTCACATTTACTCAAATCTCCTTTCTTTGATATATTAATGAGATTCCATTCTTTCCCGTTTGTCGACGGCACTTGTTCTTTCTATCAAATTTTCCTG